CTAGAATCGATGGGGAGAACCCACCGTTAGCGCCCTCATCACAGCTGTCACGTCGGGCGGTACCCCTGCCCATTGTTCCACCTTCCATTGCACTTCGTGTACTACACTCATAAAGTAGGTCCCGAGATCGATGTATCCCCTCACGCACATCTTTCTCTCTATCATGCACTCTTCTGCGTGCAGGCGCGCGGTGAGTGTCTGCGCTGGCGCGTTCTTCCCGGCTGTGAAGCCGCATTGCGATCCGGGGACTACTCTCGCGCACGCTCTATCGTATTCGGGTAGGAGCATGCGCATGAGACCTTTTAACGACTGTGGCTGGACCCAGAGGTCGCGCCTTCGTTCGAGCATCGAGCTCCTTCGGGTCCTCCCCCGGCTTCATCGCTAGCATCGCAATCCAGTCATTCCATTCCCTCGGATACGCTTCTGTCTCGACAATCTCTACCAGCAGACGCCAGTAGTCTCTTTGAATGTCCTCCGTTGCTATGCGCAGTAGGTATCCGTCGAGTAGGTCCGAGCCGACCGCCTTGCCCTTTTTGAATCGTCTTATGGCCTTCTCGCACGCTGCCCACGTGAGTACCTCCTCCTTCAGTCGTTCCGTCCCCTCGCTCGGTGTGGGTTGTCCCCCCGTCTCGGGTTGGGTCAGCTCTAGCAGCTTTTCTACCGCCTTCATGTCAACCTCTCGCTTCTTATTAATCTCCCTCCCCTTTTCCGCTGCCGCCTTTCGGATTGCCCCCCCTCGGACAACCTTCCGCTTCTTCACCTTCTGCTTGGTTCTCGGGCATGTCACCTCTTCTTCTCCCTCGACGTACACTTGCTCTAAGCTCTCCCCCCCTCGCCTTCCTTCCTGACTCGGTGTGTACGATGTCGAATACCGCGATGTGTACGTTGCCGTGTAGTTCGAGCCTGTCTGCTGTGAGAGAGAGTGGTGTTTAAATTCTTGATTTGCCAACAATATACCTAAAACATCTAGCCCCGCGGAAGTCCGCGCCCTTCTCCGACTTCTCCGACTTCTCCCGTGACTGGTGCTCCCAGCGCATTCCTTCTTCCTAGCGTCGCGACCGATAGCCGACATGTCGCGCGTGCTGGACGGCGTCATAACGCGCGAGTCTGCTGCCGAGCTCGACGCGGCTCCCGGCACGCTTCTCGGCGGTGCCTCCTCCGCGCCGCCGCGGCAGGCCTCGCTCCTCTCCGGCAGCCTGAACCTGCTCAACACAATCGTCGGCGGCGGCATCCTCGCGCTGCCGTTCGCCTTTCGCTCCTCCGGGCTCGTCGCCGGCGTCCTCTCCCAGCTCGTCTTCGGAGGCATGTCGTGGCACGGCTGCATGCTGCTGCTGCGCGCCGCGAGGCGGGCGGAGCCGGCAAAGGCGACGTATGAAGACCTCGCTCGCGTGGCGCTCGGGCGACCAGGCTGGCTCGCGTACCACGGTTGTGCCTTTGTCAACTGCTTTGGCTCCTGCGTCTCGTACGTCATCGTGGCGGGCGATCCTCCACCTCCCTTTGCTTAGTGAGAGTGGTTGCTCTTACTCTTGTGAAGTCACAATAGGTGGGCGGGCGATCCTCCACCTCCCTTTGCTTAGTGAGAGTGGTTGCTCTTACTCTTGTGAAGTCACGCTAGGTTGGCGATGTCCTCCACCCTCTCGCCGCCAGCGCCGGCCTGTCGATCGGTCGCCCGCCGCTGCTGCTCCTCGCCGTGGGGCTCGTCATCTTCCCGCTCGCCTCGCTGCGAGACATCTCTTCGCTGCGCTTCGCCTCCGGCGCCGCCATCGCCATCTATGCGGTCTTTGTGACCGCCCTCCTCTGCCTGTGGGCGGACGGCCCTCCGCCGCAGCAGCCGCCCTCCGCCTTCAAGAGCAGCGTCGCCGGGTACGTGCGCGCCGTCCCGATCTGCGCGTTCGCCTTCATGTGCCAGACGAGTCTCTTCCCGATCTACGGCGAGACCGACCAGCCAACCCCCTCCCGCATGCGCAGCCTCACCGGCGCAGCCCTCTGGCCGCCGCCCTCTCGCTTTCGCTGTGCGCCACCGCTCTTCACAGCGGGAGCCGCCGTGAACAGGCGCCGCCTTTGCCGCCGCTGGCTCGCTGTACGTGCTGACCGGCGTCGCGGCGTACTGCCACTTTGGAGAGGACTTGCGGGGCAACGTGCTCCTCAACCTCGCCGCGCTGCCCTCGCCCGCGATCCGCGCGGTGCGGCTGGCCTTTGCCACCTCCATCTGCCTGACCTACCCCTGCCTCCACTTCGCGGCCCGCTGCAGCCTCGA